ACTCTCTACATATGAGTTGCGTACCATTGCACAATCCTTCTGCAGGGTTCAAATTTCTCATAAGCATAATCGGACAATTTTCCTTAAGTAACAACTTATGAGGAGGAAGACCTTTTGGATTTTGAGAATTGAGAAAATCCTCATAATCTACTTGATGCCGTGGATAAACAGTTTTATTAGAACTTATATAAACATGAGGATTTCTTGAAAATCTTTTGATCATCATGTCATTTGTTTCATCGACTGAACTATTTTTTGGAGAAAGAATACATCATTGATCATACAATAGGGATCTTTTGAATAGGTTGTTAGATCTAGGAAGACAGATTTCATCAACCTGTTCGTAAGAAATCCGAGTTAGGATATATACATGGTGAACTATAGAGTAAAAACTTAGTAAAAGTAGCACTTTAAAGGGAAAAGTCAAAAACCTATCCAAGGATTCTTCTCTTTCATTATAAGGAATGATCATGCCACTAGATAAAGTTATTTCACCATGTGCATCGACAGGCTCTCTTCTTTCGCCCACTCTTAATAAAAATTCTGAGAATGCTAGATTTAAGATTGTTCGCATGTTTTTTGTTAACCTCAGCTTTTGTAATTTAGGCCACAAAGAAGAATTAGCAAGGCTAGATTCTATAAGAACTTCCTTTGTAGCCTGTATAATAAGAGGCAAAGTTTGCTGGAAATCACCACCAAACACAACAATTTTGCCTCCAAAAGGAAGGTCACAATCTATTGTATCTCTAAGCAAATCATCAAAAGCTTCAACAGTTTCTTGCTTGGCCATTGAAGCTTCATTCCACAAAATTAATTTTGATTCAAAAAGCAATCTTGCAACACTACCCTGTTTACTAAGCTAGCAAGTTTTAATTTTAGAAAAATTTAATAGTATTTTAAACTTAGAGTGGGATGTTCTTTCTCTCAGAAGAATAGATGCTACGATGCCTGATGTTGCAGTAGCAATAGCAATGTGACCTTTGGATCTTAAAGTAGCAGCGGCCTATACAAAAAGGTCTTACCAGTTCCTCCAGGACCACCAATGAAGAAACTCTAACCACCAAAAGAAAAAACTGTTTTGAGATCAAGTCATAGGCATGATGTTATTGAACATTTAATTTGGAAGTCATTACATGATCTTTTGGCAGAACTTCAATATTTCTTTCATTCTCTACTTCTTTTGTTAGTTGGCCAGAGTAGGCATCTGTTGAAGTGTTTGGAGCTAGATGGTAATCAGCAAAGTTCTTACCCATATGTTCCACTAATTTACTGATATCTCCAAGGACTTTGTTTCTGATCTCATCAGCTGAATAGGGACAAAGATGTTGTAATTGATGGTCATCTCTAGACAACTCTAGTTCAAATTTTTCCAAAGAAATTTAGGATCCGCCGGAGAACAATTAACAAGAAGAGTAGCAAATTGCAGTCTTAAGGAAGATGACATTTGAAAAACAGCAGCTTCTTAAAAGTTTTCTTCTATATATGTATCAGATTGTAAGAGTCCAATGGCTGAAGCAGCATCTCTAAAGCTATTCATTTTCTAACCATTAACAGTTAAAAGGTCATCAAAAGATGTAGGCACTCAAACATGAGTCAGTAGGAGCCTAAGATAATATCTCTCTCCCTCACGGGAACTAACTGTCACCAATCTTTCAATGGCCTTTTTGTGCTTTCTCTTAGTCCAAACTTTAAACTTAGAAGAGCAAACAAAATATTCTGGAAATTCTTTATAGAAGCACTTCAAATTTTCAACTTTTGTGTTCGCATTGTTCATTTTGAAGAACTCGGTCAACATATTTTTTGAAAAATCAATTCTTCTCATCAATTGCGAAAGGTTCGAGTTCTTGTTGAAGGTGATAAGCTGCTAGCCAGGAAAATGAACTTAGAGAGTATAAATTGCTGGAGTCATCTCATTTAACCTGAATTCATAGATTCGCCAAAAAGCCTGAGAGGGTGAAATCCATCTCCCGTGCTGGAATTCTTTAATTTCGTCAACATCAACACGACCATCATCAAAAGTAATTTTAAAACTGACAAGATCATGGTCTTTAAACACATACTTGTATAAATATTTGACAAGCTTTAAAGTAGAACAGATTTTCACATTCATGTGGCAATCGAACAAGGCTAGGAGATATAAATTATATGGGATGCCCATCTGTTGGCAAGTTCAAACCTACAGACAGTTATTTTTCTACCATCATCTCTTCTCATATAATATGGATAACTATCCTCAGCATGAGTTATACAATCACAAAAGTTTTTTGGGTAATGGTTTTTACAGGCACCATTTTTCATACAAGGGCTACTTTTGTCCATTGTTCTGCAAGGGCCATGAATCATGTGTTTAAGGATAAGAGAGTACAAATGAGGATGCTGTTTGGGATCTGGCAATTCAGCACAAACTATTCTATCATATGACTCAAGGTTAAGTAACTTGAATTGTGGCTTCAAGATAAATAATAAATGAGCATGCAAAAATCCACGTTTTTTTAAATTCAATAACATAAACACATGTAGCCACCTCTCCAAAAATATTTTCTTTGAAGGTTCAGCTTTGAGCATCTCAAATTTTGCTCTAAATACTTGAGACAAAAGATCTAGTTTATCTTGAGATTTTTCTCTAAACTGCAAATTATCCTGAATTTCTTTCCACATTGGATTACATGTCATAGTTAGAAAAATATCCAGTTTTCCATGTTTTTGTACCAATGCCATTACATCGAGGTATCTACGCCTCATATCTCTCGGACCACCTATGAAAGAGCTGGTAATATGACCTTTCGACCAACTCTTGAACCTTTGGCCAATTGAAATATTATCTAGAACACCTTCGAGAATTTCTGTCTGAATTTCATTTTGCCTCTTCCACTGAAAATACAGTCCAGATGTTTCAATTTTTACATAGGAATCAATCGAAAATTGCTACAGCAACTAAGTGTATGCAATAGTATGGATCTATCATTCTCTCTTATTTGAAACCGATAGCAATAATATTCTCTAGCTGATACAGTATCCTCATTCTTCTTTCCACGGTTAGCAGCCATAGAAAAAAATATATGTCTAATAATTATTTGTTAATCGTGAAATTCCTTACTATAAAAGACAAGAGATGTACTTGCCTCTCATTTCTAATTCCATAAGTTCATATGGTCCTTCATAGAAGAAGGATCAATGATAATCTTTTTATCACAGGGAGTATCATTTCATTTCTTTTATAGACTTGTTTAATTCCATGGTGCCATCCAGATTGACCATGAGAAAATAATAGAGGATATTGTATAGGATTGTTGAAGATATGTGATCTGATATTATAGAAAGATTTGATATTGTAAATATTAGGAAAGATTAGATTTGATTGATTATAGTATCATAGGATTATAGTATCATATATTAATTAGATAATAGATTGATTTAGATTAGCATGATTTTAGGATCTAAATTAGGTTACACTTGTGTATATATATTAATATATTGTCACTACAAAAAAAAAGATTTCTAGTGACAACAATATTTGTCAGGAAAATATACGTATTTTGTCAGGAAAAGTTTTCGTGACACCAATGTCGTCAGAGAAGATTAGTCACCTATACGCCGTCGGCAAAAGGTTTTCCTGACAACTATTGGAATTGTCGTCAAGAAAGGTGTTATTTTCTGTGACGCATCATTAGGAAAGGTAATCGTGATGATTTGATCGTCAGGGAAAGACCTCATATTCTTGACGATCCTTTGTCGGGAAAGACCCTGAACTTTGTCACTAAATTTTTGATTGTCAAGAAAAGTCCTATATTGAAACTTGTGGGGAAACTTTAATGACAATGCAATATCATTTTTCCTGACGATAGCTGCATCACTATAATATATTAATTTCTAATTTGACCATTCAGCATTTTTAAGCCTAGCAATTTTAGTGACAACAATGACCGTATCTTTTTTTTGAATAATAATTTTTTATTTTATTTTAAAAAAAATTTTAGCAGAGCTTCCCCTTACAAATGGACGAAATCTCCCTGCCAACAAGCCCAATTTCAAAAAAAATTAAAACTCCTGACTAAACCATCGCATATAATCTATTTAGACACTCCATCCAATCAAAATATAAAAGTATGCAAGCAAAATATCAACCAAAACTTCACAAATTATCATTAGTAGGCAACCATAATATGTCAAACCACAAAAGTTAACTATGTCAAACATTTACATATATATCATCACATTCCATGATTTGAAACCAATATCAACATTGCTATTTCTCCCTAGATAACTGCCATATACCTAACATATGCTAAAACCAAAAGATGGACTTTAATTCCATGGTCAACAAAATACTAGAGATCGATGATATCAAAATAGAAGAGTTCTTCAGTATGAGCCAAAAGCAATCCACAAGTTCACCCCAAACCTGTACAATAAAACCAAGAAAAATCTGAAATCAGAGAAATAATAGAATGGTATGCAAAAGATGTATTTTTGTTATGATGCATGGATGATCACTACAAATTGCTTAGGGACCACCTAATAATGAGTACAAGCAATGCATTAACTTGTACCAGAATAATTACTATGCTGCAAGTAACCAATAATACACCAGGAAATACAAATCATAACATAAATTGTTCCACATCTATTTGCTACTACCTAACTACCTAACTCCCCAGCTCGCATCTATTTGCTACTACCTAACTACATTACAGCAATACATGATTTACCCAATAAGCCTACAACTAAAGATTAGCATTTCATGATATTGGGTTAGCCAAGAATTAGACCTAAGCATTCTCCACCAGGTCAAGTTGATGGGGCGCAATATCTGTTCAAGCAGATGAAAGCAAAAGGCCATTTCTCACTCAGCTTTCAACCTTGAGTTAAATGAATGAATTAGCAGCCTCCACTTGGCACGACTGCGATCAAGTCCCACAGTCTTCTTGGAGAAACATGTTAGGTGTCAATCCAATATTTGCAACTAAACTACTCAATCAATACACACCTTCCTCATGAAACTAAACTTCTTGAAGTGCTAGATTTAACTCGTGTGCCGACTTGGCAATTGAACCACCTCTTCTGGAAAACCCCAAAACAAATAAGCAACAAAGAAATCATCATGTGCGTACATTGAGAACAGCAATTTAGGGAGAGAACAATCACCTGCAAAGTACAGGCAAGCAACGCTTAACCTTTTCAAGCTCAACAAAGCATGTATTGCAGCGTTCCAACCTTTTGCACCAACCCAACAAGAGTCTCAGAATTAGGAGACTTCAGATAATACGGATAATAAGAGATGTTTTGAGATATTGAATCACACCTTTGCTCTGCCTCAATATCCACTCCTACGGATGAAGGTGCTGATATAGAAGAATATATTACTGACCCAAATACTCTGACCAGCTTCAGAAGCATCTCCAATGAGATATTTTGATGCCTGCAGAATATTATGTATCACATGCCAAGAGAACAGAATAAGTAATCAGCTGGAAACAATTCACATTTACAGGCATGTCAAACCAATAAAGGCATCCATTCAAACAGTTCATGGAAAACCTTTATACAGCAAATTACCTTTTGTTGTAAGAAAAATCTGTGCAATTAGATCTGAGCAAGATAGATAAATATCACCATGTGAAAATTTTAACTCAAAAGAGTTTTCTATTTATCCGTCACCACGTAAAAATTCAATTAACTGTTTCTATATTACATTGTCACAACGTAAGAAGTTCATTAATAAAACCTGCCTTCTCAAAGTCCAGGGCAAGCCAGTTAAATAGATCTTGTACCTCAGTTTCTTTCATAGCTACCCATCTAACAAAAAGGAAATTTAACACAGAAGTTTCTATTGCCATTTCTCAGCTAGCAAAAGTTTAGATTAAAGCTCAGCGTGCAAAAGTTGGCAAATGGAAAGTGGGCTGGTAAGAAAAAGATATTAATGGAACAGAAATGATAACTTTTAACTAACATGCACCTATACAAAGAGATGTCAAGGCCAAATCATCATTATTTTTTTTCAATTTACTTTATTATGAAATCACGAGACTGACTTCACTGTACTGTTAGCAAACAGCTTAGATCTATTCCAGATATGTATCATAGATCCAACAAAATTCCAATTGGGCTGGTAAGAGAAAGATACTAATGGAACAAAAATGATAATTTTTAACTAAAAACACACCTATATGAAGAAATATCCAGGTAGAATCATCTTTTTCTCAATTTAAATAACTAAGAAACAGTGTGACTGGCTTCACTGTTATTTTAGCAACCAGCTTAGATGTATGTCAAATGTCATGTAAATCCAACAAAATTCCAATTTGTAATAGGCTTAGACTATAAAAGAAGCCAGAGACTGCTGCTTAAACATCTTTACCTGTCCATCTCACTTTCAAGAACATTTACAGGGCAAATGAGAAGAACTATGTCACATCAACATAATGCCAAGAATTATGACAGCAGAAATTTGTCCTGTAAACCCTGCCATTCCACCTTTAATCTGGAAATGGAAGAACAATGGTTGGGTAGGATAAACTACTTCTATATATAAAATGCAATTAAACATGGGATGACATAGAATTAGCAATTCAATCTTGTGTCATCCGATGAAACGAGTGAACCCTAATTAACTCCTAGGTAATCAAATTTTGTGTATCAGTTAGTACGTTTCATCGAATTACAATTGCAATGTCCTCCAACTAACGCTCCAACTAACGCTTAGTTTGTGAGTTTAGGAAGGAAGAGAAAAAGACAGAAAACTTGAATCGAGGAGAGAAACAAAAGATAAAAGAATAGAAAATGAAATTTTCCAAGTCGTTTGAGAGTTTTTGCTGTCATTACACTTTAAGTTTCCCTTTCTTATTGTTTTGAATAATGTTTGAAGGATGCATGTGATATTTCATAACTAATTGTATAATTATTTAAAGTTTCCTTTCAATTCATCCCACCTGTGGAAGGAAAGATTTGGGTAGTTGACAGGTATAAAATCCTAGCATTTCTTTGCTTTCTCTCCCTCAAAGTTTCCAAAACAAATGATTCGGAAATCTCTTCCCAAATCCTTGCTTTTCCACTCTTTTCTTTCAATCCAAAACCACTGCAAGAGTGGGGCTTCCTGAATTTATTTCCATTTCTCATAAACTAATGCCATCTAGTGAGAGAAAAAGTCTACTCTTATTGTAAATTGTTTTAATAACACTAAACTTTGTATGGTAAAAGATTTTTATTCTATATATGTTCCTTTCATTTTGTAATTATTAATGCTTTACTTGACTCCTTTGGCACATAAACGAAGGGCTGAAGTTTATTGATCTGAGTACAGTAAAGATTAGATGGCCTCTCTAAACCCCAAAAAGAAAAAAGAACAAGGCCGCACTAAACCCAAAAAAAAAGAAACTAAAGATACATTTGGATGTTTCATCAGTATTAGGAAGTAATGTTATAAGTTGAAGGGAAGAGGGAAGACTGAAGGGTTGATTGGTTTTCACCTCACCTCAGAACACCCCTGCTGGTACCGTTGAAAGAGACGAAGTGAGACAAGTCAACGGCTGTTCCTGTGTCGAAGAGATGCAAAAATGAATATGGGATTTTCAATGAATTGGGGGACTGGGCTATTGCTATGGCCTATGAGGAAGTGGGTCGGTCGAGCCTTAAAGTTTTTTTTTTAGTTTTTTTTATTATTATTATTTTGGTAGTGTGTGTTTTCGGGTGACCAATCTGGGAAAACTAATCAGTACTGTCACTGATGTTTCACCTACCACCGGGGAGAATTCTTCGCCTACACTGCTCACACTAATCAGTACTGTCACTGATGAAATACGAGATTTTTCAGTTGGAATCCTTTATACCATTACTCGATGTTAAATTCAGTATCAATCCCATTTATCATGTGATGGTAGAAAAAATTTAAATAAATAATATATGACAAATTAAATAAACAGGACACTTGACATAAATAAAGAAATGACACTGAATTGCTACTGAAAAAATGACACTGAGGACCTGTGTAGGCAGCAAGGGAATCTATTCTGATAGCAACGGAAAGCTAGCCGGCAAGGCTGACATGCCAGATTGTTTTGTTTTATATTGGTGCGTGGCTCATGCGAGCTACTTGGGCCGGACTAGTAATTTATTTTGCAGAACTGGACCATAGTATTCGGCTTAACATACATACACGAAGCATTTCTTCTCGGCCCTATTCGGGACTTGAAGACAAGGGCTAATTCTAATATCATATAGTCCCTGACATGGACGTCACGCATTTTAAAGGCCCAGTATTCTTCAGTGATGACGCTTTTTTTTCTTTTTTTTTTTCGAATTATCAGCCTTGCGAAGCAATTCATGCAAGTTTTATTTATTTATTTTTGTGGATAGAACTAGGAGTATTGGATTTTATAAAGCCTCAGTCATGGGTTTAATATTTAAAAAAAATCTGTCATCATTTTTATCTCAAATTCGCTCTTACATAATGGAACACCATACAACCGTATCAACATTATTTCCACGGAATTGTAGATAAGGAATATTGTAAAGGAACTAGTAAATCAAAGTAAATATACTTCAGACTGAGACTTTTTTTTTCCGCTTCTTTAATCGATGGACTGACAAAACTTATCCAATTTGGTAAGAATTGACATTATGTTAGCATGTGGAGTAGAGATGGACTATAAGAACTCGTACAAAACGGTCCTCAATTTAGTATTTCTGTGACATTCCTTTAATTAAACGCACCCTTTTGTGTGTGTGTGTGTCTGTGTGTGTTTTTTTCAAATTTTTGATGAACTATGCGAACGTAATTAATAGCTCACGGTTCAAGTCATTAATAGGGTAAATGGGAACCACGGTTGATTCTCTTCGAAAAAAATGTGAAGATAATTATTTTCTTGTAAGATTTCTTGAAGACAAAACCTGAGAAAACCTATAACATATCCATACAACCAATTCAGCAATCTAACTGAGTCGCATTTTCTTTTGTTTTTGCTGTATATAATAAGCTTAACACTAGTTATCCTAGTAATTTTCAACAACGTATTCAAGCCTACGTAAGTTCACGGGATCCATTACATTCTAGTAGTAGTAGTATTAGGGGTATAATTCATCCATGCACCCAAGTTAATGGTATTATTACATCAATGACGAACTAGCTAGTTCATGCATGGTTGCACATGATCGTCTAAAACAATCTTGGATGGTAGTTGAATAGATATTTCCATGTTATCCGGTACCCTACATGCAAATGAACTATTTCTTCGCCATTAAAGAGGAACTGGACTGCTTCCTTGGTTCCCCTCTTCATTATGCAGTTGACCCTGAAACCTTTGTTATGTGGGAAACGCTCTCAGCAGTCAGAAGATTCTCCTCACAAGTTGCTGGGAAATAGTAGTAGAATTTATATATAGGAGCATATAAACTTCAATCGATGAACAAGTTGATGAGGGAAGTTATGCCATGGATGAGCGCAGTATATCTTACTGCTGATTGTTTAATGCCCTCTTGGTTCAATCCGCGTACTGGATCTGCTTCCTTCCTAATAAATTATTTTTGGACCAACAACACAAGCTAGGCTATATAGAGAGCAGCGATAAAGAACATAAGATTTTGAAAAAGGAAGCAAGACTTATACACGTACTTGGAACAGCTTTGGAATTTTTGTAATGGTGATGAGGGGAATTTTTGGAATTTTTGTAATTGTGATGGGGTCACCCATCCCACATCGGAAGATCGTGGGGTCTTTATCCTGGGTTTAAAGTCCATGGGATGTCCGTCCTATCACAAATTGGTTGGATTGGGTTGTTCTGTGGATCTCCCTTAGATTGCTTGTTTATCGGGCCGATTTATCCGTTAACTCTCATGCTTATTCTAATTGTGTGTGTGTGTTTCTTACTGTTTCAGTAAAAAAGTGATGAGGGGACAAAAGCCATTTTGGTCAAGGGTAGCAGAATTGAAATATTTTACTCTGAAAAATAATTCCAATAAAGTTGAAAGTCTTGGACTAGTATATCATATATGAGCCATTTCTTAAACGGGTTGGGGATAGCTGTTACAGTCTTAATTTGCTAACACAAAACAGGATAATCCATTAATCCTTGAAGGAAATGGGCTGCAAAATTCCATGCAGAGTACACATAGCCACATGGGACGAATACAGTGTCAAAGTCAACCAAACTACCAACTTTGAACAAGCCAACACCGTCTCTTGGGGCTCGAACTTTGAATACCGGAAATGGTGGCGCCGCGTGCGAGCCAATACCCATGCAATCGTAGGACTTTTCTGTATATAAAGGGCTTACGTACTATTTCAAATCGACCTTTTTTTTGGCCTACTTACTATTGACAAATCTCCATATTTTTTGTTTGAGAAAATGATCTGTTTCATCCCTCACATTTCGCAATAATATTCTTTTCGTCCCTCACTTTTAAAATGAAGCAAATTCATCCCTGACATTTAAAAATTAAAGCAATTACATCCCTGAACCTAATTTGCAATCTGAATCAAACCACCCAATAACCTAGTAATAAATTTCAAAAATAAAATTGATAGATCATTCGGTCAACTTCATCTTATTCACATGACATTTATTAAACAAAAAAAATAAAAATTATAACATAAAAGGTTATTCTTTATCTTGGAATAGTAGAGTTTTTTTTTTTTTGATAAATCTTTTCATGCACCGTTAGTATGCCTGCTTGCGAATCTAGATGTGTATCATACATATAAAATTTGGTATTTAAATTTAAATTAAAATGATATGGCGGTACATAAAACCGTCAGTGTATATAATGATAATGTAGAAAAGATTAATCTTTCTTTTTTATGTTATAATTTTTTATTTTTTATTTTTAGGTTAATTAAATTTCACATGAATATCAAGTTGAGTTAACCAAGTGATCTACCAATTACACCCTCGAAATTTGTAATCAAATTGATTGGTGGTTTGATTCAGATTGAAATTTGGGTTCAGGGATGTAATAATTTTAGTTTTTAAATGTCAAGGACTTAATTGGTTCATTTTAAAAGTAAGGGACGAAAAGAATATTTTTGTGAAATGTGAAGAATGAAACCGATCATTTTCCCTTTTTGTTTTTATTAGAGTTTTTACATGAATAATTTTTTTTTATAAATTGTCAATGTATATACACGAGTTTGGTCTAAATACATGTCATGTATAAATGACATACATCTATACATGTTAGTGTAAAAAATTTACTAAACTGATAGTGGATAAAAACATAATCCTTTTTATGTTACATTATTTTGGCAAGTAAAAGATACAAGTATTAACAACCTTTATTTAGGGTAATGGTTACAAGGAAGAAATCAAAAGAAAACTATACCCGACCATGATGGATGTAAAAAACTCATAAGCAATCAAGGTAAGAATAATCATTCAGGTCTC